CATCCCCTTCCCCCTTCCGTCCCCTCCCCTCGGCCTTCTGTGTGGCACTTTAGGATTCCTAACCAAACTGCTCTAGACAAAAAACTAATCCAAATTGACCAAATTTCTTAAGCGTGGCTCGACAGGAGCAGGGGATCAAAAGGTAATTATGTAACACATTTCGGAATCTTGTCAAAGACGACCAGAATAAATCGAAGTTACTACCTTTGAGTACACATACACATCTTCCAACCCTCTCCGGCGTATTTTGATATACGTTCTTATGCTACATTTTACCGTACATTTGTCTGGGGAATTTCCTGAAAGTAAAGGAGAGAGCTCGGCTTTAACTGCTCCCCGGTGTACCTCGAACCCAACGGTTTTATACTTTTCCATGTTGATACATTCCACTGATCGTCTGAAGATATATCCCTTCAGCCTTTAGCCATGCTTTAGCTTAAGTCAAAGAAGCGGGCTCCATCAACCGTACAGCGGCTGTATTCGTACAGCGATTCGTTTTGCTGCGGATAATTCGTGCCTTATTTTATGTCCTGTGCCTCTTTTGCTTTTAAGTAACTTTATCTGGAACTATATTGAATTTTTGGTGGATTTGATAGTAATCATTGTTTAATTTCTTCACTTGTCAGCTGGCTCTTATATTCCTCACTTCCCTATCAAAACTTAATTCTGATCTAAAAATTTGCTCAATTGTAATGTTGCAGGAGAATGAGCAGCTCAGAGGAAGTGTCCTGGATCTCATGGTTTGTAGGACTCCGTGGGAATGAATTCTTTTGTGAGGTGGATGAAGATTATATCAATGATAAATTCAATCTGACTGGTCTCAATGAGCAAGTTCCTCATTATCGTCAAGCTCTTGATATGATACTTGACCTTGAACCTGGTATATCATACTTCTCTCCTTTTCACTTGTCATCTAAATCTGAAATATGTGGACTTTCTGAGCGTTGGTTGTTGTACTGATTTTCAGACGATGAACTTGATGATAATCCCAATCAGTCAGATCTCATAGAACAAGCAGCTGAAATGCTGTATGGGTTAATCCATGCAAGATACATTTTGACAAATCGTGGAATTGCCCAAATGATTGAAAAATATCAAGCAGGTGACTTTGGTCACTGTCCACGAGTTTATTGTGAACTTCAGCCTAGCCTTCCCATAGGTGAACTGATTACTTGGTTCTTTGATCTTCTGTGCCTCTTACTTTCATTGAACAGCTCAATCTGGCTTACACAACAAATGTCTTTTTTATGAACAGGCCTTTCCGATGTTCCTGGTGAAGCAATGGTGAAGTCATACTGCCCAAAATGTATGGATGTGTACACTCCTAAATCATCTCGACATCACCACACTGATGGAGCTTATTTTGGCACTGGATTCCCTCATATGCTGTTCATGGTTCATCCAGAATATAGGCCTAAGCGTCCCGTTAATTGCTTCGTCCCCAGGTATTGTTACTGTTCCAGATTACTTTTTCCCTCTCCTACTATTTTTGATTTGTTTGTCAGGTAGACTCCAGTTTTATTATGGTTTTCAGGCTGTATGGTTTCAAGATTCACCAATCTGCCTATGACATTCAGTACGCTGCTGCTGCAAATTTCAAAGCCCCAATGCGAGCTATCAACTATAATAATGGTAAGCGCTAAACTTATTTATTTTTTGTGGGAATCTTTGTCAAACATTTGTGTTTATAAACGTATCAATGACTGTCTCAGTATGATTGACGTGGGAAAATCCACTTCAGAACTGATTTACAGGCTTGTTTGCCTTAGTTTTTAGCCTGTGACAAGCCTACTTTTAAAGATGTTACCTGAAATGCGTGATGTGTATACCTCAATTAAGTTTGTGTTTAAATATTCTGTTATTTATCGAACAAACATATGAATTGAAATTTGTTTTACTGCATTTTTTAGAACACATTGAAAGAGTAGTTTCTGTCCCTCTGTGACCTTAGTCTTTGCGTATCCTTTATTTATCTCTCTAAATCTTGTTATGATTTATAATTTTTTCTCTCATGTAATAAATCTTAACATGCTGTGATTTGTCTCATTGAAGTATGTATTCTGAAATTATTGTGTTTTTCAAAAAATCGAAATGTCATGTAGTTGGAGGGGGGATGTGTTAATCAATGTGTCTGTTTTTATTTTTACATTCAAAATGAATGTGGAAACAGTCTTTGGAGATAATTTTCTGCTATCATTTCACCTAGTTTTTATGGTCTGTATTTTGACATTTACCATGTTGGTATGTATAGTTGATTGACTTGTGATATAAGATTTTTTTCCCCTGTTAATTAGGCTGTCAGACATCAATAGCTTTTTTTAGGAAAGATGTGTGTAGTATAATTAATTTAGCATTAGTTACCTGCTATTTAGATGAGCTGCATCCACCGCTACAATGTGTACCAAAAGTGAGTGAGGTTCGTCTGCCACATAGTTTACCTTTTAGGGAAACTCGCATCTATGACAGACTGTGACCTTTTAAATGCAAGCCAGAGATGAGCATTTTAGCTAATCTGACCGATGAGCGACGGCCTGACCGCCAGCAGGTCGGAGGTGAGGAGGAAGCACCTTTCCTCCTCACCTCTCGCACGCAGCTGGTCAGGGCTCAGGTGGAGAGCGCGTGCCTCGGTCTTTGCGGTCGGTCAGATTCGTTAAAAAGCCCATCTTTGTAGCAAGCCTCGTTTTTCATATTGTGAATTTTTTTAAATCTATGTGATGAATATAATTCATACCCAAATTGGTGGAGCATATGATTATGATGTGTAAAAGAACTGAATGTTGTGAACATTTTCTTTATACTACTGTAGGCCATGAATTTCTTCTGCAGTTCAATATGAAAATACATACCTAGATTGTGACGTCTCAAATTGCATACAGCACACAGATAAGATTGAAGAGTAACATTTTATTGCCAGCTTTGGAACTGTAAATTACACCAGCACTGATGTTTTGGAAATACAATTGGAATTGGAAATTAAACATTTGTTTTACTTTCTTTATCACCAGCTTTACATGTACACTTCCAGTGCAATCAATTTTTCATTGATGAATGTCTAAGACTGAATCAATGTTCTATCATTTAAATGGTAAACTAACTTTTAATCTTGCTAACCAACAGAATGTAAAAACAGCAAATACATTTCTTCCTCCATACCCGAGATCATGTCATTGTAATGACTGACTAGTAATCATCCTGATAATAATTTGCTTTGCAGGCTTTAAGAGCCTAAGTAAGATGTTCACAAAGTTGCCTATGAAATGCAAATAGCTGATCATGGACAAATTAGTCAAAATAAGCGCACAGAGTCTTTTAAAATTTTAAGTACATTACTACTATAAGAGCAGAAGACTGCTTAACTTTAAGAGTCCAAATTTAAAAAGAACCCAAAGAGCAAAGAAAGAAGACACTCCCAAATTGCTAGTATATTAATAAAGAAACAATGTGCTTCCCAAAAGCACATTTTCCTGAAGACTGACACTTTCCATTGCTCCATAATAAGTGATGAACACAAAATAAATTTCAAGTAAACGTGATAGTGAAATAATATTATAAAATAACCACTGAAAAATGTGAGGAGAAAATTTAAACAACTCTCCTTCAATAAAACAGCTTAAATGGCACCCTGAATGCTTCAACTTAAAAAACTCAAACCCTCAGTCTTTGCAAAGGAATATAGTCCTGAAATTCAGCTTGAAAAAATAAAGCAACTTCTGTAAACAATATACATAATGAGCTCCTTTCAAGATATACGCACATCAAATAAAATTTTCACAACTCCCCAACTCAGTCAGAAAGAGCCCACTTCTGCTCAAGCTGCACTCGAACATTTCACCAGATACTATTCAGATTCAGCCTAAACAGAACAACTTTCTGATGTTCCCACAAGTCACCTAAAAAGTATCTGTAATTTTCATACATATTGGGCATGAATACCAGAAAAAACTCGTTAAACATAACAAATATGTGCTGGGCATTATGCTTCATGAAGTCTGGAGTGGAACTTCACAGGGATTTTCCAAGATTTAAGCCACCTATGACTCACTGCCAGCGAGCAAGGTGTCCGTTTCATAGGTTTTTCACGTTCCACTCTTGGGTGAGGGCCCCTCCCTCAACTGTTTCTGCTGTTCTAACAGTCTCTCAAGAGGAGAAGGCCCAGGACCAGACCATAAGGACTGCAACAAATTACTTCATGTGAACCAACCTGTAGTATTTTGCATTAGGAAAGGTCTAACTAAATCTCTTTCTCTTACCTGTGCCCCCATTATTGCAGCCCCACTGCCACTATTCTGTTCAAAGTCATCTTTCGGGAACTCAGGACCTCCTCCAGCTTCCACTGCCCCTCGCCCTGGTGATATTGCAGGAGATAGCCAGTTATTGGCACTAAAGAGGGAGTAAGGTGAAAAACTGTGGCCATTGTTGGGAGAATCCCTTTCCTGAAAACAGAAATTACAATACATGCTTGAATATGAGTGATGAGACAAGGAGCTCAATAGAATCAAAACTGACATAAGAAGGGGTGTGCCTCATATGTTGGTCATGTGCATTGGGGGGGCAGTAAGAGACAATATGGAACATGCAATGATAATTGTGATGAAAAAAACATACAGTACAAGAGAATTAAATTTAAAATAGTGCATCACCTGTTGACTAGGCGCTGGAACTGAGTGAGATGGGTACAGCTGTTGTAAGTTCTGCATAGAGGCTTGGTGTGGCGGCAGAAGCCTTGAAGATTGTGTTTGGTTGGCATTAGATCCCTGCTGCTGGAAATGAGACGCTCGATGCTGATGCATAGCTGGCCTGAACGGCTGCTGAGTGGGATGCACGGATCCCCAACTGACTGGCGCATTCATCATACTCAAGGGAATATTGTGCGTCAGAGACCTAAGAAGAAGAACAATGCAAGGCATGTGCTGTACAGAGAAATAATATGGCAATTACATACTATCCTGAGTTATTTTGTCACATCAGTGTTACCTGGTGTTGCTAGGATGTGGAGGCTGCTCTGAGGATACAGGCCACCAGGGATTTCTGTTGTTAGAATCATGTTGCTCTTCTTGCCACCCTCCATATGGTGGATGCATTTGCTGAAAGAATTGTGTATGTAAAGGCTAAGACCAATCAAACACCCTTTTGATCCTTACGCATTATGAAATATTTTCTATATATGTAGTAAGTAATGATAAAACTCAAAAACTAAACAAACTGTGATAGTTGACAAAACTTACCATAGGATTTTCTGGAACAACAAATTTGTGGCCAGTGGCATCAACCATGTTAGGTTTAATGCTAGGTGGAGGAACAGACATTGGTGGCAGAGGAAACATTGGCGGTGGTGGCACATGCACTACCCTGGCTTGTGCTTGCTGTTGTAATTGCTGAAGAGGTGGGGGTGGCTGTGAGAATTTAGATGGAATTTGCACAGGTGGCTGAGGAAGTAGGTGAGACTGCTGTGGGACAACCGGTTGGGGTTGTATAGGTTTGGCACTGATACTGGGTTTCTGGCTGCACCAACCATCACTGCGGTCAAGTGCAGTAGGCGATGGAGTCTTAAATGACACCTATGGATCAAAACAAAACAATGACCAACTTCCTTCATAAAAAGCCTATTTTAAACATGCATTTCGTATCAGAAATAGTACCTGCTTTACATCAGTCTCTGGTGCTAGTGTTACCCCCTTGCGCAATATTGTCTGCATGGCAATATTTTGTCTCGCTATTCTACGGCCAGATCCCACTGTAAGTCCTCCCTCCTCCATGTCAACACATTCTTTTTCCCTTGACTTTTCAAGTGAACCTTGGGGCTTCAAAATACCAGTTCTCTTTTCTAAATGTCAAGGGAAAAAATTAAAAATTTTAGAGCACAATTTATAAGAATGTAAGAAGAAAAAGTAGAATGCAGCACAATGCATACCTGGGACCTGTGTGATCTGTTCCAGGATGACAGGTGGGACAGGAGGGGGGCTCACGGCACCTCCAGGAGTTGATGTGCTACTTCCACCCCAACTGCCTGCATCAGATGGGGATGGTGATGGTTGCTGTGGACAATTGCCCACACCCAGACTTAACTGTTCAAGTTCTCGAATCAATTCACTGGATGGAGCCTGCCCACTAGCAATAGCTTCAAATGACCAAGTAGTCGTAGAACTTTCATGGTGAGTCTCTCTGAACATCAACGAGATTTCATTTGAATGAGAGAATGCAATCATAAAAGTGAAACTGGATTCAGTAGACAACCTTTGTGTCCTACCTTGATGTTATTACTGCAATTTCTTCTTGCTTGGATAACCAGACACCAAAATTAACAAGTCTAGAAGCCCGTAAACGATTTATTTCCATTGTATCAACTTTTGTTTCTTCAGAATTAAACCTAAATTGAATTACAGAGTTAGAGTTAGCTGTCAAAATTAGTAATTGGAAAAATATGACTGTCTAGACCCATACCTCAAATCCTGCATAGCTTTGTTAAGCGGCAAAAAGCCCTGAAGCTCACGATCTTCTGGGAGTGGAACAGATGACACTGAGAATGGAAAACAGATTAATAGAAAATAGGTTGAAGCTTCCAAATCACTGACTAAGTTACTCTTAACATAGAGCTTACATTTATTAGATTGGTCAGAGGAATCTAGCAAACACTGAATGCCATTCAACAGTTTGCAAAGGCTTGGCCAGATTTGCAGGCGGGATGTGAAAGCTGGATCATTTAACACATCAGGCTCAAGTCTTATCCAGTCCACAGTGAGTTTTACTGTAATGAATGGGGAAAATCTTAGATAAAATGAATGCATAAAGTAAATTTATTACAGATGAAATGGGGATATTAAGTAACCTACTTGATGGAAGAGCAAAATATTCCAACAGTGCCTCACTCTCTCTTATGGTGTACACTGGCAGTAGAAGAGCTGACAAAGAGCCAGCCATGAGATCTAAAATAAGACCCTTTGCCTGCTTCTGGGTTGAAGACAATTTCTGCGAAAGATGGCTCTGTTTGTCCCAAATTTTATCATTTTCTTGAGGAAAAATATTTCCCCGGGCTTGGTGTAAGGCACATAAGTTGACAGCCAACATCTAAACAGTACAAAAAGAAAAAGAGACAGAAGCAAATTTAGTTTAATCTTTAGGAGAGTAAGCCTCTTTATATTTTTGGGAAAACACATACTTGAACCAATTTCCTTGATGTAAAGCTCTCTGTTGCCACCTGAGCAGTTAATGTATCAGTCAAGAGACGAATGGTGCGACTACAGGCTGTAAGATCAGCACCAAGGTAAAGTAAGCCATGAAACTTGAGGAACAGGGCAACATACTCTTGAACAGTTAGTTTGCTACGCCCATCCAAATTCAATCTATCAAAAAATCATTACAAATTTTAGCATTTGAACTAAGAAGAGAAAAGATGAACGAAAGATAGTAAACTGGTCAATGAGGCGTATTAACTTACTGATCTTCAGCAAATCTACCAAACATTCGTCTTAAATTTGTTGCAGCAGCAGGGAATGGGTGCTTTACTGTAACACTTCGCACATAGTGAAATACAGTTCCTAGTCGATCACCTCGGCTAGAATCTAGAAGAGCCAGCTGATTATAGGGTTGGCCAGAATGGGGTGAGAGCTGAACTGCATGTCTGTTATGAAATAAATTTGCTTTTAAATAAAATTCATGACCTAATCACAGCATGATGCGGATTTGTTAAATGTTCCTGGCCAACCTACCTGTAAAATGATTCAGCCTGCCTATTTTGGTTACGATATCGAGCTATATCTCCAAGATGTACTAAACAATGCTGACAAATATAAGAACATGATGATGTATTGGGTTGTATCAATCCATTAGGAGCAATGTTAAAGTCAGTGATACCATAAACGGAATCCCTCCTGGAATAAGATATAATTGTTACAACATGACAGAGAACACAACTCACACTAGGGTGTGAAATGGAAATCCCAATAATAGCTACAAAATTTACAAACCTTCGGCAAGACAAATCAAGATCAAAGGCAGTGCAAATTTCTTGCAACAGTGTCAAGTAAAATCCACTTGCTGCTTCTAAACACCATGTTAACATAGCTTGCGACTCAGTTCTCTTTGGATTCTGCAACATGGGACAGCGGTAAAGATAATGTAAAATCTTAATAAGTAAGGCTTGTGCAACTAAACTAAAGCAGAACGCAATCCTTACCTTCTTGTCTTTCACCATATTCTGAAGTATGCAGATGTAGTTCTTGAATCCGTAGTTCCAAAGCTCCTGTTCCACTTTACAATCCAAGGCATATTCCAAGTCTTGCAAAAGTACTTGCTGGTAAATACGCTGGTTTGAAACAAAATTTTAATATTTAAATACAAGTTTTGAAATTTTAAAGGAGAGCAAAGTGTAGTATGTTACTTGATGTTACTGTACTTACCTGCAACTGCTGTTGCCATACCCATGCATCTCCATCATTAAGAAGGTCACGGCAGCTGTCTACCTTTTCTTTAAGGATATCTGCTTTCCTAAAGCACATAATGTACAGGCATATTTTAAGACAATGTTTATCATAGAAGAGTGAACAAAACATTGGTTTTAAAGAATAATGAACTTACTTCAGTGCTTGTACTGCATCATTAAGGCCCATTATTCATCTGCACCAAATGAAGGAAAAATATTAAAAGGGAACCAAACAATCACTCACCATAAATATACAATAATTGGGTAATTGAACATAACCTAACCGCAAACTTTATTTAAGACAAATGTGCATCCAAAATGAAAACAAACTACTTGTGCTTGCCTGGAAAGGAAGTGCTATGCTTAAAATTGTAAGGAGTGAATGCCATTTCGATAGTATTGTCAAGAAAGAGTTGTTAAGCAGCACATAAATTTTCAGTGATTTCTGACAGTTCTTAGTAATTGACATTGCTCCATCCTTACGACACATATTTTAACAATTCATGACCGGAAAGATAAGTGAAATCTTAGTATTGAAACGTCCAATAACTCGTGAAAAGCGATTTTTAAGCTGGAATGTGCTGGAATTGATCTTTCAAATTCTTTAACATGGCCAATGCCTAGGCCTAATCTTTGCAAAGCGGTTGTAACATTTGGTACCATCAACTCAATGGGTGAGTGGGATTAATTTATACGACGCCAAAGAAAAATACAGCAAAACTCTCAAAACAATAAATTTGAATCGAAATGAATAACAAACCATCACATATTAAAGATTTTCCACAACATTTCCCCCGTTGCTTTGCTGCGCTCGTCTGCTTAACGTCTGCTGTTGTGATGTTTTCGTTATTCTTACGTTTTGTATGACAAATTTACAGTTCAGCTTTCATAACAATGACGAGAGACTGATGAGCCAGCGAGATCATTTTATGTTGATTTTTAATCGTTGAATGTGGACCAAATATGAATGGGATGTAGCTATTAGTATGTATTGAAATTTTTGACTCCTATTATGTTGGCGCAGGTAAACCTTGACGAGTCTTTTTTCATTCAAATGTTGCCCAGCCCCAGTTCTTTTATTTTTCGTCTTCTTCTTCTTGTTTCTTGTATTTGTGTTTATGTTCAGGAAAGGTATATAACAACACTTTTCAGGAGGCTTATTCAGGCGTTCACAAGCTGGCGTTCAGCCCTAGATTCGGTCTGTGTATCGTTTCGGCTGAGGGGCCATAGAGACACTCTTTCCCTCTCTCCAGAGGGGAAATACTTGTATCCCCCGTCGACTTCTCGAGGGTTTTAAGTAGTCTATTTTCATGCCACCGAGCCATCGAAGATTGAATGAGAGACGGATCTGATCGGTGGTTTTGTCTCTGGCCATGGCTCAACCGCTGAGCACAGCTATTGATACAGCATTTAAGAGCAATATTGTACCTGATCAGGAGTACCTTCTGCAAGGAAGCATCTTAGACACGTCTGTTGAACACCTTCTGCACAGATTACGAGGACTGTGCGACAATGTTGATTCTGGTCCTGAACAATTCCAAGATCACGAAATGTGTTTTACTATCCGTAAGAATTAGTCAATGTTTTTCTTTTCCAAAGTGATAGCATTCATCTTGTGCATTCTAATGTCTCACATTTCTATATCATCACCTAGGTACCACACCAACACCACTGAGTTTACGTGTCCGTCGAGCCTTGGACCACACGGACATGCCATGGCAGTTAAGATACATTGGTCAACCAGAATATGGTATTATTGTATTTATTTATATGTATCTCTTAGTAAACAAGAGTATATGTTTCCTTTTTTAAAATGATAATCTTCATTTCAGGTGATGCTAAGAGACCCACTATCATACGCAGTAGCATAGACATTGGATGTAGTGCTTCTGTGGTAGAATTCTTAACAGAATTAGGGTGCCGAATGGACTTTGAATACTTAGCCAGGGGCTACATGTTTCGGAAAGGACGGATGAAAATAACAGTTGCCAAGATTGTTAAAGTAAGTTTCGGTATTTAAAAATTTAATTTCAAGTATGTTCTATGCTTTTGACTGATCAGGTAATTTTTGTTGCTTCAGACAAATCCAAATAAATCCCAGGACAGTATGCAGCTAATCTCAGAATCCTACTTAGTTGAGTTAAGTGTCCTTGCTCCAAGAGGACAGGATGCTATTGCTGAAGACATGAGAAGCTTTGCAGAACAATTAAGGCCATTGGTAAACCTTGACAAGGTTGATTACAAAAGATTAGCCCATGGCCCTCCCTAAGTTTTTGTTCTTTTTTTCAAATTGCATTTGAGGTACTTTTAAGTCTCACTATCTTCTGATTTGCTGGCTTTTAATTTCTCTTTTGTTTTTCCGTGTGTCAGCCTTTTTGGGTTTGTCTACCAAGTATGTAAGACAAATAAAGCATAATTATAAAATTCATTTTTGTGCAACAGGAAGTTTAATTAACAATGTAAGGTGAAAAAGATCTTTATAACAATTTCTTCCAGCTATTGTCAAAAATTCCCTCTGTGTTACACCTTACTACTTTGATGCAGTTGATTCATTAATTGATATTACTTTCCTATCTTGAGTCGTATCTTCGCTTAATGACTCCTTACTATCTTCAGTTGAATCTCTATCCAACAATGCCTCGCTTTCAATAGGTTTGCTATCATGCTTGGCAAGATCCTGACTGGTAGTTTCTTCATCCTCTGCAGAGATTAATTTCTTCTTTACGGGGGGTGAAGCATCTAACTGATCTTCAGCACCATCCTGACGAGAAGAAATGCAATGAACGAATGAACCAAACAAGTTGTAACTTCAGAGAAATTTAAAACGCAAGCAAGACACCACATCACATACATCTTTGTCCTTGTCAGACCTCTCACAATCAACCGTTCCCCAGACTGCTTCTCCTTCTGGAGGCTGAAACAGAAGCTACAATGACATACCCTTCGAAGATACCTCTGATCAGACCAGAATATGTCACAAGGTAACAGGAGCTACACAGCTAAGATGAAATACTAAAGCCATAACTTACTTGATTCCGCTTATTTCCTTTCTTCTTGTTTTTCCTTCCCCGTTTTTTCTTCCTGATGCCATTCCCACTATTCCGGTCAGTCCTCTCGCTATCAGCCTTTCCCCACACTGCTTCTGAACCCTGCACCAGGGGCCAATACCAAAGTAAACATGACGCCGGTCAAGCAGCAAGGAAGAGCCGGTGTGCGGGCTCGACCAGGTTATGTCATTAAAATTGAAACCGAAACTTACTGGATTCTGTTCGTCATTGTTCCGGGGCTTCTTCTTCCCACGTTTAGTCTGTTTGGTGCGGGCCATAGTGTTGGTCGTGCGGGAAAGCCCAACAACCCCTAGATCACAGCGAGCGCAAAGGCGACGAGCTGCAGTGGAGTGGAGTATGGAGGTGTGTGTGTATGTGGGGGGG